ATGCATACATATACATACATACACATCATACATGTACAAGCACATGCATGAACGTCATCGCAAGAAACGAACATACATATTGAATCACAGGACGGGTTCTGGAGCGGGTGCCGGGGTTATCTACATCACAGATGTCTGGGCAGTCGGACCATTCAGACCACGAATCTAAGATGCATTGCGGCACACACACAGGGCTGCACACTTCCTCCTGAGGGGATAAGAAGTGTTGCGTGTGTGGGTGGTTAGCATAGTAGGTATGTGTGATGAGTGTTGTACGCAGATGGAGATTGAGTGTATTGCATGCGGCTGGTGTGATAAGGATAGATATGCTATGGCTCTGTGTATCAACGTTCTAAATATACTTTCCGTATGCATGCGTTGTTTCTGACTAAGTCTCTCTCTGTACTGAATGTATATATATATAAAATATTTTCCCACTTGTAGCAGTACTGGTACGAGCATACTCAACAATACACACAGACTCTATTTGTACAAACATACTCGACGAATCTATAGGCCCTATAGGAGATACAAAATAACTCAACAATATATATAGGTCCTATCGGGAAGCCTCTAATAGCTCCGTTGATGGAACATTGTTGCACGTGCATGGATCCGTGGTACAGCGAATGTAAATCTAGGTGTAAGTGTCATATTAAGAGTTCATATATATTATAAGTTTGTATTTTCCATTGCATGCGTGTGGGTGGGAGACAGTATAAGGTATATAGCCCAGGCACATTGCCAGCATACGGCCTATACACCATAGATCACAACGACCAAGGAAAAAATTACAAAGCGAAAATGCATTGCGATCACATGAGTGTACTAAGCTAATACATTGACTAGAAAATCTCAGGCAAAGCGGATACGCAGTTCAACAATCGCAATTAATCGCATGCAGAACACAAACAGAAACTCAGGGCAGAGAGGGATAGGGGCGGCAAAGAAAACAACAGACAGATGTAAGCAGCTGGGACGCGAGTCAGTCTGTGAGGAATAGATAAGGTGGACATAGTACGTGGGACCAAGAGTACCAGTCTGCAGTATAGGCCAATAGGGTTTAGGGTTTTGGAATTTCTAAGCACCGGTTAAAGAGCGACTTATCCCTGTTGCAAGTTTTAGGGCTTAGGGTTTATATGCGGTGTGGTTCAATCGTGTACGTACCTTCAGCAAAGTAGGACACAGTAGAGGGTCAGATCCGGGTGAGGTGATGCCACAGGTACTTATACGAACACCTGAGAACAAAGCGTTTACGAAATGAGTTGTTGTATACAGAGATGCTTTTGCGTGGCTTTGTTGTATGAGATGGATGTGAGAGGACAGGCAATGTCCTGGAATGGCACGCGTTTACGAAAACAAGGAAGGTTTGTGTACGTACGGAAAGCAGCATAGCCTCCTATAATAAGCACATCCTAAAGTGTTCCTTTTTACGATTCTATGGAAACAGGTGGTACAGAACTCTAAACTCTAAAACCATTAGTGATTGGTCATAATGGCCACTGAGCATCATGCACGGATTGGACTATTGTGTACAACAAACGTATCAGTTGTGAACATTGCACGAGAACACTCTTTCCATTATCTATCCGCAGTCCCGTACCCATAGAAGTACACCGATACGACACTGTGTAGCAAGTAACGGCAATCAAGCCTCCCAGGGGACGCCTTCATACTAGATGAGTCAATAACCACGCCAGTGATGTAGTGCAGATTAGACGCTATAGATCGGACTGCTGCACATTTAACATTCCCCAAAAGATAGATAGGCATGTCTGGTGCGGCCAATCATCAATGGGCAAACTATTGAATGCACAATGTGCTGTATATATATATATATATATATATATATACAAACACTGCATATATCTATATATGCATGATGCATATATCTATATGTACACGTAGGCATGTATCAAACTCACATACCGTCGCCGCACATACTTGTGCACACACTCCAGTCCGACCACGGATCCGCCGTACAGTCCGTGACATTGTTGTAGTCGCACTGGTGCTGAGGATCTGTATTGCAGGCTAACGTCTGTGAAAGCTCAGGGCTGCCAGGAATAAATGGGAAGAGGATGGAGTGGGCAACAATGAGAACAATACGTGTGTGCTGTGTAGGTGTGTTGGTAGAGATAGCTGAATGTGCGTATGTGTACAGTACACAACGAGTATAGTACGTGCTGCACAAGTGCATTCGCATGGTTTGGAGATTTCTGTAATTGTATCAACCCTCTCGTCGCGCGTGGTTGAGCACAGAGTCCGGAGGATTCACTCACTGTCCGTACACTGTCCGTACACTGCACACACACACATATATATATATATATATACGTATATATACATACATATACATACATACATACATACATACATACAAATATACACCTCCAATAGACAATGTAAGTTATAACGTAGATATTCAAATACTTAAGCAACATAGCGCATGTACTCTCGTATCCATACCATGGCTGACCTCCACTTTCTGGTTCCACCG